CCTCCGCCTCCTGGGTTCAAGCAATTCTCCTGCCTCAGCCTCCCGAGTAGCTGGGACTACAGGCACACACCATCATGCCCAGCTAATTTTTGTATTTTTAGTAGAGACGGGGTTTCACCTTGTTGACCAGGATGGTCTTGATCTCTTGACCTCGTGATCCACCCGCCTCGGCCTCCCAAAGTGCTAGGATTATAGGCGTGAGCCACCGCGCCCGGCAGGTCCCTCAGTTTTTAAGTGTAGGGTTTGGATTATATAATTTATTGGTGTGTAAGTCACCTTCTTTGTGAATGAGGTATAGGGAACATGGACATGTGGTGATTAAGATTAGCCACATAGATGAAAAAAAATGATTAGCCACATAGGCTGGGCCCAGTGGCTCATGGCTGTAATCCCAGCACTTTGGGAGGCTGAGGTGGGTGTATCTCTTGAGGTTAGGAGTTCGACACCAGTCTGACCAACATGGTGAAACCTCGTCTCTACTAAAAGAAAAATTAGCTGGGCATGGTGGCACGCCTCTGTAATCCCAGCTACTAGGGAAGTTGAGGCAGGAGAATCACTTGAACCCAGGAGGTGGAGGCTGCAGTGAGCCAAAATTGTGCCACTGTACTCCAGCCTGGGCTACAGAGTGAGACTGTCTCAAAAAAAAAAAAAAAAAAATGTGAAGTTAGCCATATAAACGATAAATGAGGCTCTTTGAGAGGACCTAAGAGGAAGCTATAAATTACATGTGGCATAAGCCTGGAAATCTTCACTGCTGCATGTTTTTTTTTTCTTCCCCAATTCTACTTAAAACATTTTAAAACTTGTCAAGATAACTTTCTCAGGTAGTTAAGAAGGGGTCATCTCAATGTTAACAGCACAAGAAATTAAAAATCCAAAGGAAAGAAATAGCTTTCCAGGTAATGACAAAATTAGTGACAGTGTCTGGAGTAGGATTCAGATCCCCTGAATCCTTGTCCATGGTTCTCTTAACTGCCATGCTCTTTCGGTTGAGACTAGAAAGAAAATGGGTAAGACACATTCCACCCTGAGAACACTTTCAGTGTTTTTAATGTTTTCACTTAGAATGGAAGAAATTACACTTGAAAAGGGATGCTTAAATTTATTGCGGCTATTGCTTCAGATTTCCAGTAGCTCAAACTCTGCTCAAAAGTCCATTTCTTTCAGTTGGTGGAAGGGGCAGGATTCTTTTTTTTTTTTTTTT